TTTTTAGTCTTTTTTTCAAAAAATTTTACTTAGGGTCAAATAAGTTTCTTTAATGTAATTTAGCTCAAATAAGTTTAAATTTTTGTACTGGCTTCCAAATTACCCATGAGTTAAAGTCAGTCTCTTAGAGCATCTCCAACAACAAAAGCTATTTTAGCTATTCAAAAAGTAACATTTTCTATTTTAACTACTCACTTTTTTAATACACACTCCAATAGATTTTTTCTTTTTTTAACTACTCCTTTTAAATATATCTTATTCCTTTTGTATTATTTTTTTTTTGGGAATAGCGAAAGAGAGAAAGAGAGAGAATGGAAGAAAGGAGAGGAAGAGAGAGAAAATATTATAAAAAATTTTTACATATCGCTACAGTGATACTCCAAATATAGAGTATCACTGTAGTAAAATATTATTTTAAATTTTTTGAAGATAATTTGTTGAAATAAAATTTTTGGGCTAAATAATTAAAATTTGAAGATTTTATGTGTTTTAGATCATTTGTTGAAGATGCTCTTATCAAAGCTGTAGTCATGGGCTATTCTTTGGTCCAAGTCAAAACTTCTGAGAGAAGTAGGTAAGCCTTCACTAGCAGAGTATTATGCATCTTCAATTCTCTCTCCACCTAATATTCTTCTATGCATGAGCTTATGAGTGTCATGATAGCATTTTGCCATTATATGCTTGTGACAAACCAGGTGCTATGACATTGACACCTTTCATACATGAATTCATTTTGTAGTAAGATTCTAGTGATAAACCAGTGAAAAAACTAGAGTGGTACACCGTTCAATCTGACTTGTAAAAAGTTTGAATGAATTAGACCCTGAACAAGAAAGGTGTTAGTTTGGCATGCTTTTATTCCAATTAAAAGTAAAGAACGTTCCATCTAGACACTGGGTTGATGAAATTAAACAAAAAAAAAAGAAAGAAAAAAAGGAAAAAAGACATGCTAGCTAGTCTTGAAATTAATGGAGGACAATAGGACTTCAATTGCTGAACTACGAATTTAATCTGTTCCTATTTCCTTAGGTATAATCCAATTCTTGTGGGCCTAAATTGAAGGAGGTGCCGTAGGGGTGTGTTTGATTTCTATGGTCGCCTCGGTTTTGTGAAGATGGCTAAGGTTGACCTTGCAACCTACCTATGTAATGTAAGAACCAATATTACAATCATACCCTAAGATAAGGTTTTACCCGTGGAGAAAATAACTATCACGTATTAATGCTATCCAATATAAGTGTGTGAGGATAATTTTACACTATAAGTCTCCATCTCATATGGACGGAGAGGATGGTGAAAAAGTCTTGAATAATCTGCAAGACAAGAAAACACCTAGGTGAACCAATGACCAAGAGTGGCCAAAAGACTCTGATACTTAAGTCATATCACAAGTCAAACAAGAGTATGTAGTCAATAAGTTATGATTGAATGTCTTACCTAGTATCCGAAGGACTTTATTTCTAGCGATAGAGAGTTGCGTCCTANGCTTGTGACAAACCAGGTGCTATGACATTGACACCTTTCATACATGAATTCATTTTGTAGTAAGATTCTAGTGATAAACCAGTGAAAAAACTAGAGTGGTACACCGTTCAATCTGACTTGTAAAAAGTTTGAATGAATTAGACCCTGAACAAGAAAGGTGTTAGTTTGGCATGCTTTTATTCCAATTAAAAGTAAAGAACGTTCCATCTAGACACTGGGTTGATGAAATTAAACAAAAAAAAAAGAAAGAAAAAAAGGAAAAAAGACATGCTAGCTAGTCTTGAAATTAATGGAGGACAATAGGACTTCAATTGCTGAACTACGAATTTAATCTGTTCCTATTTCCTTAGGTATAATCCAATTCTTGTGGGCCTAAATTGAAGGAGGTGCCGTAGGGGTGTGTTTGATTTCTATGGTCGCCTCGGTTTTGTGAAGATGGCTAAGGTTGACCTTGCAACCTACCTATGTAATGTAAGAACCAATATTACAATCATACCCTAAGATAAGGTTTTACCCGTGGAGAAAATAACTATCACGTATTAATGCTATCCAATATAAGTGTGTGAGGATAATTTTACACTATAAGTCTCCATCTCATATGGACGGAGAGGATGGTGAAAAAGTCTTGAATAATCTGCAAGACAAGAAAACACCTAGGTGAACCAATGACCAAGAGTGGCCAAAAGACTCTGATACTTAAGTCATATCACAAGTCAAACAAGAGTATGTAGTCAATAAGTTATGATTGAATGTCTTACCTGGTATCCGAAGGACTTTATTTCTAGCGATAGAGAGTTGCGTCCTAAAGGAACCCGAATTCTAGGTTGCTTGGCTCAACCTCATCACCAGGTCCTAGAAGTTCAGGATAGAGTTAGATTATGACTATTAGTCCTAGGTCCTTAGCACCAGTTCTTGGTTACTAGGAGTAGCATTTAACTAGGATTCTAAGTCCTAGGTTTGACCATAGCTGAGTAGGTATCGCCTAGAGGAAGTGGGCACGTATGTGGACTTGTGGTAGCTCTATCAAGGATCAAGTGGCTGACTCTGGGAGGCTTCGNAAAGTAAAGAACGTTCCATCTAGACACTGGGTTGATGAAATTAAACAAAAAAAAAAGAAAGAAAAAAAGGAAAAAAGACATGCTAGCTAGTCTTGAAATTAATGGAGGACAATAGGACTTCAATTGCTGAACTACGAATTTAATCTGTTCCTATTTCCTTAGGTATAATCCAATTCTTGTGGGCCTAAATTGAAGGAGGTGCCGTAGGGGTGTGTTTGATTTCTATGGTCGCCTCGGTTTTGTGAAGATGGCTAAGGTTGACCTTGCAACCTACCTATGTAATGTAAGAACCAATATTACAATCATACCCTAAGATAAGGTTTTACCCGTGGAGAAAATAACTATCACGTATTAATGCTATCCAATATAAGTGTGTGAGGATAATTTTACACTATAAGTCTCCATCTCATATGGACGGAGAGGATGGTGAAAAAGTCTTGAATAATCTGCAAGACAAGAAAACACCTAGGTGAACCAATGACCAAGAGTGGCCAAAAGACTCTGATACTTAAGTCATATCACAAGTCAAACAAGAGTATGTAGTCAATAAGTTATGATTGAATGCCTTACCTGGTATCCGAAGGACTTTATTTCTAGCGATAGAGAGTTGCGTCCTAAAGGAACCCGAATTCTAGGTTGCTTGGCTCAACCTCATCACCAGNAAAGGAAAAAAGACATGCTAGCTAGTCTTGAAATTAATGGAGGACAATAGGACTTCAATTGCTGAACTACGAATTTAATCTGTTCCTATTTCCTTAGGTATAATCCAATTCTTGTGGGCCTAAATTGAAGGAGGTGCCGTAGGGGTGTGTTTGATTTCTATGGTCGCCTCGGTTTTGTGAAGATGGCTAAGGTTGACCTTGCAACCTACCTATGTAATGTAAGAACCAATATTACAATCATACCCTAAGATAAGGTTTTACCCGTGGAGAAAATAACTATCACGTATTAATGCTATCCAATATAAGTGTGTGAGGATAATTTTACACTATAAGTCTCCATCTCATATGGACGGAGAGGATGGTGAAAAAGTCTTGAATAATCTGCAAGACAAGAAAACACCTAGGTGAACCAATGACCAAGAGTGGCCAAAAGACTCTGATACTTAAGTCATATCACAAGTCAAACAAGAGTATGTAGTCAATAAGTTATGATTGAATGCCTTACCTGGTATCCGAAGGACTTTATTTCTAGCGATAGAGAGTTGCGTCCCAAAGGAACCCGAATTCTAGGTTGCTTGGCTCAACCTCATCACCAGGTCCTAGAAGTTCAGGATAGAGTTAGATTATGACTATTAGTCCTAGGTCCTTAGCACCAGTTCTTGGTTACTAGGAGTAGCATTTAACTAGGATTCTAAGTCCTAGGTTTGACCATAGCTGAGTAGGTATCGCCTAGAGGAAGTGGGCACGTATGTGGACTTGTGGTAGCTCTATCAAGGATCAAGTGGCTGACTCTGGGAGGCTTCGATTAACCGGCAGGGACCTCCCCCTAGGAGGTGTCGACCGATAGGCCCCTACCCACTCAAATGTCGATCGGCAGAGTCCTCCCCCAAAGAGGTGCCGATTGGCAGAGGGTTGCCTTATTTGGTGCCGACTAACAAATGACTCCCCATGTGGACGCCGAGCAGCACTCATTTTCTTATGCCATAATTGCCCCCATATCTTAGTTAACAGATAAAGTTAATTGAGGTATATTTTCAGAGGACTTAGGTTTNTAATGGAGGACAATAGGACTTCAATTGCTGAACTACGAATTTAATCTGTTCCTATTTCCTTAGGTATAATCCAATTCTTGTGGGCCTAAATTGAAGGAGGTGCCGTAGGGGTGTGTTTGATTTCTATGGTCGCCTCGGTTTTGTGAAGATGGCTAAGGTTGACCTTGCAACCTACCTATGTAATGTAAGAACCAATATTACAATCATACCCTAAGATAAGGTTTTACCCGTGGAGAAAATAACTATCACGTATTAATGCTATCCAATATAAGTGTGTGAGGATAATTTTACACTATAAGTCTCCATCTCATATGGACGGAGAGGATGGTGAAAAAGTCTTGAATAATCTGCAAGACAAGAAAACACCTAGGTGAACCAATGACCAAGAGTGGCCAAAAGACTCTGATACTTAAGTCATATCACAAGTCAAACAAGAGTATGTAGTCAATAAGTTATGATTGAATGCCTTACCTGGTATCCGAAGGACTTTATTTCTAGCGATAGAGAGTTGCGTCCCAAAGGAACCCGAATTCTAGGTTGCTTGGCTCAACCTCATCACCAGGTCCTAGAAGTTCAGGATAGAGTTAGATTATGACTATTAGTCCTAGGTCCTTAGCACCAGTTCTTGGTTACTGGGAGTAGCATTTAACTAGGATTCTAAGTCCTAGGTTTGACCATAGCCGAGTAGGTATCGCCTAGAGGAAGTGGGCACGTATGTGGACTTGTAGTAGCTCTATCAAGGATCAAGTGGCTGACTCTGGGAGGCTTCGATTAACCGGCAGGGACCTCCCCCTAGGAGGTGTCGACCGATAGGCCCCTACCCACTCAAATGTCGATCGGCAGAGTCCTCCCCCAAAGAGGTGCCGATTGGCAGAGGGTTGCCTTATTTGGTGCGGACTAACAAATGACTCCCCATGTGGACGCCGAGCAGCACTCATTTTCTTATGCCATAATTGCCCCCATATCTTAGTTAACAGATAAATTTAATTGAGGTATATTTTCAAAGGACTTAGGTTTTTTTTTTGGACCTTTATTGCCTAAAGGATTAGGGCTTTAAGTTTCTTCTCTCTTATCCTCTTTACTTACTTTCATTTGTGTTCCTTCACTTAGTTCATAGGTTGCAACTTGGCTGATAGAGGGAAAGGAGAAGCATTCATTATTACTTGTACAAGGGACTTACATTGCTCATGAGCTAGTCGAGCGACAAGAGTCACTCGAGAGCCAAGTCGGGTCTGATAGGGTCAAGGTAGACATGCTTGAGAAACAGTTTAAGGATTCTAGAGTGGAGAATGTCTTCTTGAAGAAGAAGGTTACTAAGGTAGAGACTCGAGTTGGCAAGCTTCAAGAGGAACTTGTTAAGCCTAAGAGAGAGAATGTTTGGATAGATGAGCAGGTGAAGAATTTCATATGCGATCATTACTCTGGGATTCTGGACAAAGTCAAGAAGAAACAAGTCTTTTGGAGATGGTTCTGGATGAGCCCCCTGGGCAGTCGGGATTGATGGGTCATATCCAACTTGGGAGGGCATTCCATGACTTGAGAGTGACTTCATAATTCCTAAGATCGTGGAGAAGTTCCTTGGTGGTGGTGGTTCGAATCTTTTAACACTTGTACCCCCCATTTCTGACTGAAGGGGAAGGGTCCCCACAAGTTGAGATGTTTGATGTTCAGAGGTGACAAATCCTTAAGAAAGGTTAAATAGCCTGTTGAGCAATTGTAGAAATTTTCAATTGTATGTCGAAGGCTGAGTAACTTAGAGAGCAACCTTAGAGATTGCATGAAGGTGAAGTAGCCTAAAAGTCAATGGTGGAGGTTATATGGAGGTAAAGTAGATTGAAGGGCAACCATGGAGGTTGGCTTAAGGTGCAACCACGAAGGTTGACTAGAGGTGAAGAAGCCTTGAAGTGCAACCACAGAGGTTGACTTGAGGTACAATCATAAAAGTGGGTTTGAGGTGCAACCATAGAGTTTGGTTGTATATGCAACCATAGAAGTTGGCTTGAGATGTAATCATGGAGGTTAGCTTGAGATAAAACCACAGAGGTTGGCTTGAGATACAAATACGGAGGTTGGCTAAAGTTGCAACCACGAAGGCTGTAATAATCACAAACAGAGGAATACTTAGAGTTGTAAAAAAAAACTTCTATTTATTAATCAACGAGAAAAAGAAACAAATATCTTTGAAAACTTATTGAACTAATATGACGTTGTCGACTAAGCTAAAAGTAAAACTTAGTTATCTGGTTGGTTATTTGATTGGATAAGTTATTCTTCCTACTCCTTGGTAGTCTTTTTCTTGTTAATGTCTTCTAGGTGGTGCTTGAGTGCCAACAACCCTCCATCCGGTGGCCTTTGTCCTTGTGATACGAACAATGAAGGTTTTAGCCCCACTTTGATGGATCTCCTATCATCTTAAGTGGCCACCTAAAATACTCCTTGTCTTTGATTTGGTTCAAGACTTGATAGATTGGCTCCTTAAATATAGTGTTGGCTCATTGGTAGGATTCTCTTGTTCCCTTGGATCACTCGTCTTTTCTTCATGGGTTGGAAGTGTTGTCTTCCTCTATCTAGTTCTTCCTTGGTAGTTGGTCGACTGGTCCCTTGTCATCCTCCACCCTCACGTACCTCTTGTTATGTTTTTGCAAGTGTGGCATACTCTAGGCGGCCACATGGTGAGGTGCTTCCTCAATTCTCTTTCCTTGGGGAGGCCCAAATGGAAAAAGACAGCGGTTGTCTTCTCATTGCACTCTTCTATGTTGGTATAGATTTTCAAGTACCTCATGGCATACTCCCAGAGGGTCTCTCCTCATTTCTGGTGTAATACCAAAAATGTGTCAATTGTCATCGGCTCTCAACTCTTGACAATGAATCAAGAGATGAACTCTTCGGTGAGCTATTCCCAAGAAAAGACCGAGTTCATGGGTATCCCATGAAACCATTTAAGAGCGGATCTCCCCAAGCTAGAGGGGAACATCTTACATATCAACTCCTTATTGATTGTCCAGAGGGTCATCGTATTAGTANCTTGTTCCCTTGGATCACTCGTCTTTTCTTCATGGGTTGGAAGTGTTGTCTTCCTCCATCTAGTTCTTCCTATGTTTTTGCAAGTGTGGCATACTCTACGCGGCCACATGGTGAGGTGTTTCCTCAATTCTCTTTCCTTGGGGAGGCCCAAATGGAAAAAGACAGCGGTTGTCTTCTCATTGCACTCTTCTATGTTGGTATAGATTTTCAAGTACCTCATGGCATACTCCCAGAGGGTCTCTCCTCATTTCTGGTGTAATACCAAAAATGTGTCAATTGTCATCGGCTCTCAACTCTTGACAATGAATCAAGAGATGAACTCTTCGGTGAGCTATTCCCAAGAAAAGACCGAGTTCATGGGTATCCCATGAAACCATTTAAGAGCGGATCTCCCCAAGCTAGAGGGGAACATCTTACATATCAACTCCTTATTGATTGTCCAGAGGGTCATCGTATTAGTATAGGCCCCTATGTGGAGCACGGGATCATACTTGCCATCATACAACTCGAATGAAGGAGGAGAGAACTTATGTGGGGGCTCGATTTCTTGTATGGACCGAACAAAAGGTGTAGTGAACATCCTTAGTAAGACTTGTCTTGCCCTTTCTTTGACCGAATATACGAGATCATCTTGGCCAGTGTCACAATGAAGATGGTTGTGACCTTCGCGGGCTGTCTCAAAGTTGATACACTTCTGTATTCCATAATCGTCATACCACTCGTCTCGTCTCGTCTAGAATAGTGGATTGAACTTCCATGTCTTTCTCTACGTTCCTTAGGACAACGTTCTTTATATGGCTTACCCCTTTCTCCTNATCCCATGAAACCATTTAAGAGCGGATCTCCCCAAGCTAGAGGGGAACATCTTACATATCAACTCCTTATTGATTGTCCAGAGGGTCATCTTATTAGTATAGGCCCCTATGTGGAGCACGGGATCATACTTGCCATCATACAACTTGAATGAAGGAGGAGAGAACTTATGTGTGGGCTCGGTTTCTTGTATGGACCGAACAAAAGGTGTAGTGAACATCCTTAGTAAGACTTGTCTTGCCCTTTCTTTGACCGAATATACGAGATCATCCTGGCTAGTGTCACAATGAAGATGGTTGTGACCTTCGCGTACTGTCTCAAAGTTGATACACTTCTGTATTCCATAATCGTCATACCACTCGTCTCGTCTAGAATAGTGGATTGAACTTCCATGTCTTTCTCTACGTTCCTTAGGACAGCGTTCTCTATATGGCTTACCCCCTTCTCTTCGTAACGAGAGGGTACCTTCTAAGTGAAGGGTCCCTAGGCAAGCGTTGAGAAGTAGAGTGTGTTGGTGAATATCTTCCTTGATGGTGACTATGGGTCAAATGGCTCCTTACCAAAGACCTGCTTCTACAACAGATAGATTGAGCTTCATGAGAATGATCGTTGTGGTAATCACTTTGACAAGTTGGGTGTTGAACCTGACTAGCAAGTTTTTTGCCCCTTTGGTAAAGGAGCCCTTGCTTGAGGGCTTCTAACTCCTCTGTCTTCTTTTTTATTACTTCTTGGTAGGCCACTTTGATGGCTAGTTCGTCTTTTGCATCAAGGGTTAGTAGATTGTAACAGAGAAGGTGTTGTTCTTCTGGGTGTTTCTACCCATCTAGGTCCAGCATTTGGTCAGACACTTGGGGGGTCGTAGTTTGAAGGGATTGGAGATAGCGTAAGAGTCATGCGGCTAGTTGTTGGGTTATTTGTTCTCTCGCCAAACATGTTTCAAGGCTTCTACATTGCCAAAAAACTTAGTCGACGTCAATTATGCGGAGATAATTTTGCAATGTGAGTCTCTATCTCGTATAGACGGAGAGGACGGTGAGGAAGTCTTGAGTAATATGCATGATAAGATAACACATAGGTGAACCGACGGCCGGGGGCGGCCAAAAGGACTCTGATGTTTAAGTTAGATCTAAAGTCAAAGAAAAGTATGTAATGAATATGCTAAGATTGAATACGTTACCTGATACCTAGAGGCCTTTATTTATAGCGATAGAGCAATGTGTCCCAAAGGAACCCGAACTCTAGTTGGATTTATTCAACCTCATCATCAAGACCTAGAAGTTCGGGAAAGAGTTAAATTAGGACTCTTAGTCCTAGGTCCTTATCACCGGCTCTTGATTACACATAATAAAACTTAACTAGAATTCTAGGTCCTAAGTTGGACCTTAGCCAAATAGGACTCGGTTAGAGGAAATGAGCACACATGTAGACTTGTAGTAGCTTGATCAAATATCTCTGGGAAGCTTCGGGTGTGGGGTGCCGACCGACAGGGACCTCCCCCAAGGAGGTGCCGACTGGCAGGTCCTTAACCACTCAAATGCCGACAGAGACCTCCACCAAGTGGGTGCCCACCGGTAAATGACTCCCCAAGTGGGTGCCTAGAGGCACTCACTTCCTTATGCCTCACAATAAGCTTCTCCAATACAAGCAACAACTATTTCCTCCGTATAAAACCCTGCAATTGTCAGACCGTGTATGACTAAAGTTGTAGTGTTATCGCTATTGTGAATAATTATTCCATGAGTTTCCAATCTTTTCGTATTGAGTGTATTTCCTAAATACTCAAAAAGAAATTTATTTAANACCGTGTATGACTAAAGTTGTAGTGTTATCGCTATTGTGAATAATTATTCCATGAGTTTCCAATCTTTTCGTATTGAGTGTATTTCCTAAATACTCAAAAAGAAATTTATTTAAAATAACTAAAGTGCGTGTGCTTTCTATAGATTGTGTAACATAATACAATTTTTCAGTGAATTAAATATTCATCGTAACCATAATATTATAGGTAACATGATACAATCATTGAAGTATTATATGCACCAATCAATACCACATATCACGCGTAATAATTTTTTTTTAAAGTCAATGCAATAATAATTAAATTACATACAGTTTACTATTGCCTAGTGGTTATTAATTATTCAGTGATAATGCTACATGTCCATGATTCGTGATATCAATCTCACAATGAATATCTACTTGCTGTAACACTTTGGTTCCTTAAGATGGGTTAGGTCTTCTCCTCTTACACATCA